GAATTCCAGAAAGGTAGTTGCATTTATGTGGGGCAAGTTGAAGACTCAATTTCATAATATCATTGCTTTTTACTGCTTGTTTGATAGGTCCCATTTTCAGGTTGCCAGGCATTTCAAAAAACTCAAAACATGGCTAGATGTGTTTTGGGAGGTATAATCCCCATATTAAACACATGGGATTGAAACAGGGACGATGAGTACTCCTGTACAATGTGAATTTCAATAAAGATGACAAGAGCCTCCCTGGAAGGCAGCCACACACAAGTACAGTTATGTGCATCATTTTGACAATAAGCTTGTTCCCAGTAGGTTTTTGTGAAGGAAAAGGCTGCACGGATATTAACAAATGAGAAAGGACACTATAGCAATGAGTATGAGAGAGACCCACCATTCCCACCTTTTTTTTTCTTTTTTTTTTTTTTTTTTCCTGCAGTTACCTTAACTTGACCAGCAAAAAGTGATCAGCACCTTCTCAGCTGTCTCAGGGATCCCTAAACTTAAGCAAGGTGACTACAAGCAGCAGTGCCTAGCATTGCAGACGTACACTAGTCTGATTGCAGAGACTACTGGAGTGTAGTGACCCTTGTGTCACTGGGAATCCAGCCACACATTGGAAGTAGCCTCACGCATCAATCATTGAGATTCTGGACATTATGGTCTCCTTACCCATATGTCCTGCATTTGTTTCAGCACACTTTTATTTCCGTAGTCTTTAGAGTTATACAATGCTCAGTTACCCTTGAATACCTACGCATATGGCATGCTGTTTTCTGCAAACAAAATTGCTCTAGAGCCCTGTGCCAATATTTTCTTCTCTCCCTAATCCCCATCGGTGAGAAAGTAGCGGTGGTCCCAAGAACTGATGTCATTAATCTAATTCATCAAATACCTTAAAGTCATTTAATGTTATTAAATAATAACACGAATTGCCATTAGTAATAGGATGCTATTGTCTCTGATAGAATTAGTTTTCAAAGAAGCTCTATGAGATCATTGTTAAATCTCTTTCAGAGACTGGGAGAACAAAACACAAAATTATTAACTCCCTTGCCTAAGACTGCAGATCAAAGTGTCAGCCAGAACTGGGGCTGGCTTCAAGAAGCTAATCTTGATTTTAAAAGCGAGCCAAATACTTTCAATCCAGGCACGAAAGCACCATAACTAGGATATGCAAGTTTAAAACAGCTAGACTTAAGATGAACAAAATTTTCACTTATTCTCATTTTCTTGGGAGCAGTCATGTTCCCAAGCTTTTCTCCCATGACTATATAGTCTGAAACCCTATTCTTAGGTCCTTCCCCTACATATATTTAAAAATATTGATGCAATCACATGATCAAAGGCTTAAGAGAAAAGAAAACACCTATTAAAAAAAATTATACAAAGCAACAATATGAAAGCTGCCTTTTAGCAAAAAACTATGCTGGCAACTAGAATGCCAGAAAGACTTCAGTGAAGACAGGGAAGATAGTTCTGGGTAGAACTGATGCATTTTTCAGATGTGTCTATGTAGCAGTGAATGTAATGAGGTTTTCAGAGCAAAGACTCAGAACACAACATTTTGTGTTACGTAATTTAGAAACAAAGTCTCATGTTTGTAGAAAGAGTTTTACATCTATGAGCCGTGATATCCTTTCGCTGCCAATAATCTTCTAATTGTACATATAATTGTCATTAATGACAGAGGCCAGAAAATAAATACTCTGCATCTGTTCCCCGTGGTGTTCTCAAAGGAAAACTTGCCACTCCAAAATTGTCTCTCCTCGTGCTTTCAACGGAACAGATTTTCAGCTGTTGCACATTGACATAGCCTTGTTAATACCGGCTCACATGGACTGATAATTTGATCAAAAAACAAATTACTCTTACATAAAATGGGAGTAAGTTGTTCTAGACCTGCAAATCTCCCAAGAGCTAAGACAGGCCACCATAAAAGCAAGGGTTATAAACTTGAATTTATTATAGACAAATAAGGTTTTGGCCTATGAATTCTCTTTGCCTATTAAGTTAATGAGCCTTGACAAAACAATCATCTGAGGAGTAGATGACAAATTATCTGGAGCAGCAATTTGAAAGGCGTTGGCTGGCTTACAAGCATTTCAGTTGGGAGAATATGGCATCATGTTCCTCTGGAAGAGTTATTTGTCAAACTAAATTTCTTGCAGTTCAGCAGCAGATTTTCAGCATTGGAGAGCTGAGATACAACAATGACTGCAGTTACCAAAACAAGCAAATAATCCCTGTCCATTCCTCACTAATGCTGAGGCTGACAAATTCTGAAGAAAAACTCTTTCTAGGAAGCCTGCAGAAAGTCAGGGAGGTATCTTTTTATTTTTGCCTGGAGATCATGGAAGTGTGTAATGTAATGTGTAAATGAATTTGAGGAATTCAGGTGAGTAAAGGCAGACCTTTCAAAAGACGTGGTCAATAGTTGGAAGACTTTTTTGTAGTACATCTTCCAATAGAGATGGTGGTATCAGAGCTGCAGATTTAAAACAAGGTCTTTTTATGGATTAATTCTTCCAAATATTCAACACAATGCAGCCCTGAGACACATCACCTTTGTGAAATTTAGGGCTGCGTACAATGAACGCTTCTGCAAAAACAGCCATTTGGTTTAGGGTTAACATGGGATTAATACTTTTCCAAAATCTGTTCTCCAACTGTGAATACTGAGTCCATTTGGAAATTGGATCATGGTATATGCTGTAAAGCTGTCACTTTCCTCACCAAAGGCATTTGGTGAAATATCGTTTCAAGTGTATTCCTCCATGGTCAAATTCCAAGAGTCCTATGGAAAAGTAAACAGTATTTGAAAACATCAAAAACTGTTGTATTTTCCATCTGAATGTTATTTCACATTAGGAAGGAAGTATAAATTATAGCAATCTGTTGCCTCTACCACAGCATGTAGCAGAGCATAGTGCAGAGCATTTAACCATGAACTGTGTCTTTTCTCTTCTCTGTTCTTTTTGCAGTTTTTGTTGGACTATTGAAATAATCAAACGGATTAAATACACAGAGACTAGAGCTTAATTTTACGTCAAAGCGTAATGAAAAAAAATTAAACCTTGTTCTTAAAGAGAGTTGTTAACTGACACTCAATAGAACAAAACCCAGCTTTTAAATTTCTGATGTCAGGTCATCAAATGTTTGATGATCAAATATTTAATCAATCACACACTAAAGCAAAAGGATGTACAGAATTATACCTTCAGGGGGCAAAATGGCCTAGGTCTATGAGCTCTCCAAGGCTTTGCTGATCATTGTTATGAGTATCTGGTCTGCAGAAAGTAGGTTTAACAGATTCACCCTTTTCCCCCAAACTAACCCCATAGTCCTGACAGTCGTGCCATAGAGATCGGCCATTCAGCAATGAATTGCATCTCTCTGTGTTTAGCAAGCCACAGTCTACTCCTCAGTGCTCCCAATACACAACTCCATGGCCCCAAATTCCCCTAGAACCCGCTTGTTCATCTTTCCAGTTCAAGTTCGTCCCTTTCTTTCTAAAGGAACCATTTTAAAAGTAAGAGAATTTTTACAACGATCTCTTCTGTTGTCTGTCTCTAAACACTGTGGTGCTTACAGATAAATTACTCCCATGTACTCTGTACCTAAAGACCTGAAATTATTTTACTATTTCTTGGCTAATTATTTGCTTTAAGATAATACTTGCAGAGAAATTCAAATATTGTGGATAGATCTGTTAGTGCCTAGCACCCTTCTGGAGTCATTTATACCATTATAAAATGTTGACCTTATCAGTGTTTTTCACCCATATTTGCACTAGCCTGAACGTTTTGACTAATCACTTTGTCCAGTGATTAACCATCTTTTTACAAATTCTAGAAGCTACACAGTTTTCATTCTAATAAACTGACGGCTTCTGCATGGTCTTACCACATCTGTTACATTCTTCCTTAGCACTTGTCTTATTGTTTTTTAAATTTAGCTTCTATTTCATAGCACTGCAATGCCTTTCACAGCTGTTCATCTAATCCCTGGGGTTTCTTTCCTGTTACTGTATCTTATATTAATTTACCAATTTACTTTCCACTTACACGCTTCTGCTCTCCTCTTCCCACATCACTTTTTTCTTTGGAAAGTGTTTTCTGTGGAAAATGTCAATGATCAAAGTTCCAAATAAAATTATTTGTCTTCTGCTCCAGAATACAGAAAATGATAGCTTTTTTCCTGACAAAGGAAGCACTCAGCACCTTCTTGAAAACTCGTGCCTAATCATTCTTCTATCTCCCAACTCTTGTTTGCAAATAGTTTGCAAACTAATTCGTAGTGCAAATACTATCCTAGTAGACTACACAAGAATATGTGGGTTATACTAGTATACAGTTTTGGATATTATGTTTCTAGTATGCAGTTTTGGACATGTTTTTCTTTATTAAATATTTCTCAGGAGGCAATCTCTGACAATATTGTATACAAGTTGTTCCATTACTTCATTATGGAAAATATTCATAATTTCAGATTTTGCTAACAGTTCTCTCAGAGCACAGTTAACCTAGGGAATGTTAAATTTTAGATGTGGTCTCAACCATGGCTTGGTAAGGGAGGTGATTATTTTTTGCTCCATTTCTTCTGAATGGCTTAGGCAGCCACCTTGTAAACCTGAAGATGCTCGGTGAACAAAGTATGCAAAACACAGAAATAAAATGGCTGAATCAAACCAAATTACTACAGCTTTCAGTGTAGTCTTAGTCACTTTCCATCCAGAGAAACAAACACTGAATTAGGTAACCTAGTTCAGAGCACCATTCCAATGGATCAAAACACTGCCTCTCGTCATCACTGGATTTTGGATGACCAAAATTATATACCCAGGTAGCATATATTTTCCAGTGGTGCAGATGTGAAAGCATGGTTAAAAACAAGCACAAGCTGTAGAGAAAAGAAGATCTATGGTGAAGATGCAAACTATGAGATAAATCTAGTGAGGTTCATGCAGCCTAACGAAGGAGGTGAGGAAGAAGCGCATGCAGTACCTGGTGATCTCAGAGTCAGGGAGCAGGCCTACGTGGTAGTGGGGATAGGGAGCTGTAAGAAGGAAGCTTTTGTCACACTCGACAGGGGAATAGTGCCTAGGAGAAGGTGGTTTATCACACAGTTTGTTCACAGTGCTGTAAACAGGTTCAGGAGGCCTGGTGATACAGAGACAAGAGTAAAAGGTCAGGTGTGTATTAGTGGCTGAGAGTCTAGAGAAAACACAACAATCATTTTACAAGCATGCACAGCAAATCTGTCGAGACCTTTTCAGTAGGGCTTTTCTGACCAGTAAAGTGTGCTGTTAAAGGAAACATTAGAATTTTATAACAGTATTACTATATACAAGCAACTGCATATAAAGATATACACAATGTAAGTGGGCCGTAAAACTGGCTTATGGGAAGTGTGGCACTGAAAGGGAAAATATTCTCTCTGAAGTTCAGTGATGAATATTCCCACATGCTCTGCTTTCTTTATTTTTTCAGTCTAACATTACTTCTGAACAGCTTTCTGTGATCTTAACTTTGAGCATTGCATAAAAGAAAATATGTTTATTACCTGAAAAGAAGTACTTTTTGCTCATCAATTTAAGATAAAGATGAAGTACATATTACTTTTTAATACAACATGCTCCTACCCCTATGAGCTGGGGCTTTGCGAGTAGAGCTGTGGTCAAAGTGAGCCATATCCTGTAACACTGATGATGACAAATTGTGTAAGCAATTCATCTCTTTGGCAGGCACTTCATTTCATTGGAAGAGTTCTTTGCTCTCTTTTCAGATTCAACCTTCAGAATCTGATTATGCAGACCACATCTCAAACAGTTAACCTCGCTGACAAGGCTACTGCGATTGCACTTGCACTGCTGCTCCAAATCACAGATAGCAGTCTGCGAAGCTAGATAGAAAGAATAATATCCCAAAACTGACACTATCAGGTCAGGTAATATTTCTCTCCTGCTGTCTTGAGACCAACCGCTTGGGAAAGGCAATACTTACCATGAACCTCCCAGGGAGCTGCAATGGGAGAGGGGAGGAAGGGATGTAGCCTTTAGTATCAACCAGACAGGGATCCACAGGAGACAATCAGCAAACAGTTTTCAAAACAATGTACCACACAGTATGTTTCCCATCATTCAACTTCTGTGTTGGCCCCAGCAGATACCTCTGGGACTACCGGCAGAGTGCAACTTGACTCATCATTTCCCAAAGTTTCTGTTCTAAAGAGTGCCAAGATGCAATTGCTGTCATATCCTCGCGTCTGCCAGGAGATCCAGGGTATGCCGCTGTCTTTAATCTCAGCAATACAGTATTAGCTAGATGAAAATCTTATTTCAGAAGCCTGAAAATATCAAGAGGCCAAGCAGTTAATGAACTCTTTTTGTTCTTCTGGCTGCACTGTGCCTCACATGGGTGTGGTTTTTGCTGTGACTTTCACAGGTACCAGAATTTATTACAGTCATGGATGCACTGGCAGATACAGAGAACATATTTTCCTTTGTTGTTAGCTTCTGGTTTTGTCCTTTGGGGGAAAGGAGTAGCTGCTTTACTTAAAAATTGGTCTCACTCAATGCTAATAACATTATTCATAGCGATCTGACATATGATCTGAGAACTCTCTGTGCTTGACTTTCCCAGGGAAAACTTTACAGTTAAAAAAAGGCAAGTTAAGATTACCAAATATCAAAATAGCAAAGCTGTCACTCATTTGGTTATAAAGCATTCTCTCAAGCATTTAGTAAAATCCCTTTAAAAATGTTTAAGGCAGCAACTCTTTTTTATCAACATATTTCACCCTTGTTTCAGAGGGTTGGATTTAATAATTTATTTACTAAATCAATTGCTGCTTTCAATACAAAAAAAAAATCCAGAGAAAAACCCCACTTATAGTATTTTACTTTAGACCAATACTGCCTTTTATTCCCTCAGAAATCACTTTTGCTTTTAGGTAGTATATCAAAGAGCAAGTACAAATATCAAATATAAATGATACCTACTATGAAAACTGAAGAAATATTGTCCCAGTGCAGAAAGATGAATAAAAACTGTAGGTCTCTCCATGGTTTAAAACACTAACCAGTCCATAAACAACTTGCTAGCTTCCTATATTCAAGTTACATGTCTTCTCTGAGTAGTACGTGACATAAGAGAACCCCTTGGATATATTGTGAATGCTCAAACTACACTGAGTCACCAGTGAGTGACCATCCAACCTTGTACTGGGATGCAGATCATGCCACAGAGATGGATAGGTATGAGGGATTGCTCTGTTAATTGACAATTACAAACTGCTTCCAAAACCAAAATGAAGGTAAATGTTCAACATCTACCTAGATGTTGAGACCAAATTAGTCCTTCAAATATAAGGACAGAGCCCTAACAAAATGCCTTGCGACACCCAGCAAATTTTAAAATGTTTAGTAGTTTTCACTCCTTTCAGTCCTGCTGCGTACTAAGATAACAGAAAATTGGAACAAGCCACCATGTTGATGTATAAAGTCATATACTCACTGCTTTTGTAAAGTTGTATACCCACTGGTCTGAGATCATCATAGCCACCTATTTAACATCAGACACCATTCTTCAAGGTCATTAAGATCATGGACTGAACTGGTTCTTTAGAAACCTTCATACTACTCAGATGCATATGCGAATACTGCCAATTGTGCAGCTGGGCCCTGGCTGCACATTTTATTGGCACAGAAAAGCAAGAACTTGAAAAATAAGCAGTATGTAACATTAGGGGTCCAGCTCAGATCAATAGAAACTCATTTTCTTTCTCAATTTAATTTAGTAAATATAAATCAAATAGTGGGAAAATAGTTGAAAGTAGGATAAAAAATGGAAAGGAGGAGAATGATTAAAACAATCTGGGCAGACCACTGTCCTGGTCATATGAACTGTGCTTCATGTAGGCCAGTAATCCTCAAAAGTAATATGAGAAACTTGCTGCAACAGGCTGTCTTCAAATATCCTCCTGACTCTTCACCTTCTCTATGGCAAACTAGTACTTACCTACAATAGTACCTACTTTGGAAGACAACAATCCCTAATAATAATAATAATAATAATACCACCCAGCTTTATTAAATGATTCTTCTAACGCAGCATTTTCTCTTCCTATTTACATTTCTCCTCACAGGAAGAAGAAGGAAAAAATTCTATCCAATTGGATCAGCCCACCTGGTAAATCCTGTCTTACATATCTTCTTCTACAGTGCCATGACAGAGACAGGTGGTCTTCTCTCAAAGCATGGGGTAAGGAGAATGCTATTTAGAAATAATTTCTAATGTGTCATTCTGAAAAAATACAGCCAAGGTCACCTCAACTTTTCTTGCAAAATAATTAGGAGCCAGACTGAACATAAACACTGAGACCTTATTTTATGATGCATTAATTCTTCAAATGAATCTAAAAACATGTAGCAGATCATTTAGCATGCTGCAACAGAAGTGTAAAACCTAGATATATATTATTTAAGGACTGATTCACTGTAGTTTGTTTGCAGTTGCATCACTTTCAGACACAGCAGGTAGGGCTCCAGAAGTTTTGTCTTATTTAAAATAAATACTAAGCAGTTTTTTGTAATTTTTAAAATGAGAAAGAACAAAGAACGATGTTATGGAATTTATTTTGTCCATTGTCTTCCTTTTCTTAATACTTATGCAAAAAATCCCCTTAAATGCCAAATGTGTGAACATTACTGTGTACTTCTTGGATAACTGTAATATCTATTTTAACAATTATTTATCTAATATGGCTCTACTCTGAAAAACAACTGCTGCTGTAACTTCTTATGTAGCAGATCTGCTCCTTTTCTGTCTTTAAACTGTTTATTTAGTGACAAACATATATTCTGGTTCTCTGTCTTTATCAGTGAGCTGAAAACCAAGCTCTGTGTTAAACAAGAGCAGGACAATCAGGCATACAGTGGTAGAGGAAAGGCAACAGAAAATGTAAGTAGTAGCACAGCTGGGCTTGAGCATGACTCAGTAGACTATTCAATCACAAGAAAGAGAATCAAGTCACCCAATGCCACAAAGTAAGCTTTTAAATGCTGGTATGAGCTGCAGATAGTCATAAACTACTTTTTAATTAAAATAAATAAATTGAAAGCTGGAATAGTTAATCAGTATAGACCTATCTGCAATGAGGCACAATTTCCACAGAAAGGTATAAGTAATTGGTGGAAAAGCTAACAGGAACAGTGGGAGGTACAAGATTGATCTGACACTGGGTTTATTTATTTATTTCATAACAGACAGTGTAAAGAAAGCAAATCTTCCTAGTTGTTTCTAGTCCTTAGTATTCCTTGTTTGGATCACTATGGTGTTATTGGTTCAGGCTGGCTTTATTGAACAGCAAAAGTTATAAGAAAATGGTGTTATTAAAACCATTCTCTCTTCAGTGTCAGGCAGGTCCTCAATTTAATTTTAACTTTTTCTCTTACGGAATCCTGTTTGGTAGGGTTCAGTTGCTAACAGATAGCAGATTAAATGACAACAGTTTCATTTTTTTTTTTAATTTTAAAACGTTTTATTATATGGAAAGAAACCAGCTAAGCTCTCTCAGCATATTGAGCATGCAGGGCTATAGCCAGGAAATGCCTAATTCAATCTTAGAGAAAATAAATCTCTCAAGGCTACAAGTTTC